ATTCTGGTCAAGGGCATGTACCTTGGTTGTGGGCACATCCCCAGTAGGGGGTGTTCAGGAGGCAGCTGATCAATGTTTCTCTCTCATTGATGTTTCTAACTCTCTATCCCTCTCTCTTCCTCTCTGTAAAAAAATCAATAAAATATATATATTTTTAAAAAGATACGTGCCCAGGTTGCAGGCTTGATCCCCTCTCCCGTCCTCTCTGGAACATTATATATAGCTGGAGGAGAACCTACAGCACAGGCTGGAAAGAGGTTGACCAGGATGGGCCCAACTGTCCTTTGGGGAAAAGCCACCATCAATTTCTGAAGAAGAAAGGACTAGGAATCTTTCAGTACTGTTCAAAATAGAAACCCCTGGCTAACTTTTATGCCCCAAATCTGTTGTGTTTTCTTAAAAGCTTGAAACAAAAGCATATTTAAAAATTCTAGCATTTTAAAGTTAAATTTAGCAACCGAAAATAAAGTTGCCTTGAGATCTTCTCATTTATCAATATGATTTAAATAAATAATTTTAAAATAGCAAGTGATTTCTACAAATGATTTCTCCACAGACAGCTTACTTAGTTTTTATATTTAACATGTGCTCCATCATGACCTGTGTTCACAATGAAGTTGAGACAAGTCATACAGATGGCCTTGGAGAATGGAAGTCTATTGTTTCTGCCCTTCCCATCACACCTCATTAACCACTCTGTAGCATAACAACGACACCTGCCTAGCATCATGTTAACAGCTTGGTTATTACGTAATAATATAACCATGTTTTGGGTATGTGCCCATTGCACAAAAGCACAGCCCCTGCAAAAAAAAAAACCACACCAGATTCTCAGCTTCCTTGGGCGCTGTCCACCCAGCAAGGTGCTGATGAGATTGCTGCCCACCCTATGCAGGCTGCCTCTTGACTCTGTGGTTTCTGTTTCTCCAGCCTTCCCCATGCCTTAACTCAGACTTCAAAGCAGGGAGTGTCTCAAGGTCCCACTTGTCAAGTGAGGCACCACACACCTACCCTGGAGCTGCATTTTCACCACTTTAAAAGAACGGTTGCTGGTAACAATGCCCTAACATTTTTGCAAGCAGTGCCCAGTGACATCATGGATGCTGGCCATGCTCAGGTCTCAGCTGCATCTAAGATTGGCCGTCCCCAGCACACTGGTCCACACAGTCCTCAGCTCTTGCAATCCAAAGAGGTGTGGGCTCTGAGGGGAGCTCCTGGTGCTCATTTGTCAAGCATTTACTAATTCTTAGTAAACACGCTTACGTTAAAAACTCTATAACCTGAGAGGAGGAAACATTAACATTCTAAAAAAGGGGGGGGGCGTGGGAGAGACTCCCAGGCTTTTAAGTCAGATATATAGAGTCAGCCCAGAACTGAGAGAGCTCCTGGGAAGATGCTTTCCACATTAAAATCAGTACAAGGCCAAGGATACCAGAACAAGATGGTCACCCTACAGAGAGATCAAAGTTCAACTTCAATTAGTTTGGGGACCTTGAACAAATCAAATAACCTCTCAAAGACTCATCTTCCTCATTATAAAACGGACATCACACATTTCTTGTAAGAATTCAATAAACGATTATATAAAAATAAAAAGCACGGAGTCTGATATTAAATAATTGCTCAATAAGTGTTAATTCTATGCATATAGTCAATAAGTAGAAGATAGCATATAATGAAAAACAGAAGTGGATACTTTAGGAAATAAAAGTCGGGGATAAGGGAGAATTGGGTCATTAAACAAAGGTTCTGAAGTGGTAGGGTTGACAGGTAAAATACAGGGTGCCCAATTAAATATGAATTTCAGAAAAACAACAGGTATTTTTAAGCATAAA